TTCAGTTCTTTGTTCTTTGTTTTTTTCTCCTGTTGGTGAGGGGAGAGGAAGAGGGCTGCTCCTTGCTGCCAAGCTACATCAGCATCCAGAGATGGGGGACAGACATTTGATGACGTGTTAGAGACCCTGATGTGGTAAGGAATGTTCCAAGAGTGCTACTTGAGTGGCTTTGATAGTTCTGAGACCTCACTGGCTTTGTTGCTCCAGGGCTGCCATCTTGCCACAGACTGTTGGCTGACCAAGTCCGCCTCAGTGCACTCACAGACCCAGACACTTGCTGCAAAAGGATTCCTGAATGAAGCTCCTGGACTTGCTCAGGGTATGTGCTCACCTGGTTAGTGAATCAATAGATGGAAGATTTCTCTGTATTGTTTTGCTCGCTTAGTAATTTTGGCTTTCAGGGAAAAAAAATGCTTACGATGAATAGGATTTGACTAGCTTTATTAGTTATATTTTAAAAACATTGGCATATTAAAATCTCCATATACTGCAGATGTTATTCTAAAAAGTAATAAATAAGTATCAGATCACTGTGATAATAGAAACTGTAGAAGGAATCTTATGTCCCCCAGTCCAGAACCTGTGGTTATACGCACCTGGACCATGCATTCTTCTTTGTTCCATGACAGTGAATGAATTTGCTATTTAGGGGAATGAAAAAAAATCACTTTGTACATGAATTATCTTGCATCCAATTCCAGTAGTACTTTTATATATATATATATATTATTTGTCTCTTTTGCATATATCATTTGTCTCTGTCCTTACTAATTCGTTTCATAAATATGCGTAACTGTTCTCAGCCATTTGTGACCTCTCCTGACCCTGCAACAACTGCCCCTTATCTGCGAACTCATTTATGAAGAAAATGCTTATAAGAATTCTTGATTTAATCTGCTAGGATTTCTCCAGTGTTTCCTGAAAATCATTCAGGCTTTGATTCTTGTTTCTAAATTGAAGGAATTGTTGTCAGATTTGCTAAGTGCAGTGCTCCATTCTCAGCTCTGTTCTCTCAGTGTCATGTGACAGAGGTGATCCTGTGTGTCTTGCTAGTTTTTAATGCTAAGTGAGTACAATGCTAATTTCCTCAAACCTCACAGACTTTTATTCTTTCCCCCCTCTACAGAAACCATCTCTGCTCAAGCTCTAGGTGTATCAGTCTTCAGAACTAAGATCCTCTAGCTCCCCAGGTCATGGCTCATGGCATTAAAGCCATCTGTGTGCTGAAACTGGCAATTTTACTTCATTTTTTGCGTTCGTTTTCAATTCCGATTTCTTTCTGTCTACACACAGATAGAGATATCGATGACTGAGGTCTCTGATATCTACCTACAGACTTGAGGCCGAAAGGCAGAGAAAGCTCCCCAGTCTGCTGGTTAATTCCAACATGACCACAACAGGTAGGGCTTTGTTGGCCAGAGGCGGGAGTCATGAACTTAATACAGATGTGCGGCAAGAACTGAAGCCCCTGGATCACAGCTAGGGATGTCCTGGGCCTATGTCAGGAGGAAGCTGGAGTTAGGAGCCTTTACTAAGCATTGAACCCAGACACTCCTCCAGGGAATGAAGACAACCCGTTTGGTGTCTTGACTTCTAGGACAACCACCTGCTCTTGAAACTCCAAATTTAATAACTCACCATGCATTTCCTAAATCTGTTATGCATGGGCCCCATACACCACATATATACAAACGTGTCCTCATCTGAATTCAGCTGTGGTAGTATTGAAGGCTGGACAAGAGAACTGTGTCTTGGATTAAGTTGTGATAGCAGGGGCACAGGGGCGAGTCTACTGGAGGGGGGATGTCTTTGAAGACAGAAGAATTGAACTTACTGAAGGGTTATATGTCATGAGAGAGGAAAAATGAGTAGAAGTGCTTTTTTTTCTTTTCTTTTTTGCCTGAATAAAGGATGAATGAGAGCTTTTAACATGCTGTATCAGGGAGGTGATTTTTTTATGTTGTTGTCAATCCAATCATCAGAAAATAAAAACATCTTATAAACATCACTGCATATGTTACATATAAACTTAAGTAGTCTATGCATTAAATTATGCCAGCGATGTTTCCTGAGCGGTTATCCCAAGTCATTTCGTATTAAAATTCCAGGAGATACACCACCACCAACAACAACAACAAAGAAAACAGCCGCCCTCATGTCTTTATCATCTTCCTCAGTGTCCCATGAACTCTTTGCAGTTTTGTTGTTTTTCTACTGAAAGGAGCTATGACTTAGTCTCCTGGAAATGGTCCTTCTTTTGTCCTTTTAATATCCCAGGGTAGCTATACCGTATCTAGTCATCTTGATTCTCCCATCAAATCTTTCTTTTGAATTGTATTTGATCTTCAGATTTACTAAAATGATATGGCTATGAAGAGTGTTTCTTAACTTACTCTTCATTTCTGTATTTTGTAATTAGAGGTGCCAGACATGCAGAAGTTGAACAATTCACTTAGGCAGGATTCCTAAGCTCAAGTACCCATGCCCTGTTCCTAATAAGCAAGCAGCAGACTCGGTGTGACCCTCACTCTCTGAGTTTTTAGGTGGAGAGCAGGAAAGCTCCTGTTCCTCAGGGATGGTCTTCTCTGGGTCAACACTGGCCTCCGCCTGGGGGAACATACCCTCTAGCCTGCTGGTGTCAGGTTCATAGATCAAGTGGTAAGCTATTTTCATCTTCCACATTACACCTTCCAGATGCATGTGTTTCAGCTGAACCTCTGGTAAATTCCAGATTGAATGTGTTCCATTTCAGTTCATCCTGGGAACCAGAAAATTGTCATAATAGCTCTGTGCCATGTGTTAGCCTCTGCGGTCACCAAGACCCGAGAATACAGTGTTGTCCCTAATAGCAAAGAATATCACACAACAGGGAAGATACGGAAATTTTAGTATTGATGAACTAATTGAATTGCAGTAGTCAAGCAAAGCAGCAAGCCACATACTTGTCTTATTCATCTCAAAGAACCTGTAGAGTCCTTGGTAGTAGGAGTTATGTCACATATCAGGAAGGACAGTTTGTGGATATCCGCGTACTTTGGTCTTAATAATCCATGAGGCACAAGTCTGCCCTGGAATGATGCTGACATGAATGCCCCTGCATAGTCACTGACCAGTAGCACAGCCAGAGAAGTGCATTCATGGAAACATGGCCAATAGGTCACTTCCTGTCACTGTTACTTGCTGTCTCTGCTTTTACTTAGGTTCTCATGGATTGTGATTGAATTGAGATGTTATGCGTGCAGTGCTTAGCCAAATGCCAGGAAATAAAGTTTGAAAAGTTACTGTCTCTATCATATTTTAAATTAAAACTGCCCCAAACTTAGCCTGCTTTAGGGCATGTAAAGTTTAATCTTTCATTTACAATGTTTAAAATGAAGAATGTGCCCCAAATTGTTCTCCTATGGAATGTGAAGTCCATGGCCATATTAAAATATATTTCTGAAAACCTTTAGTACGTTGCAGAGACAGAGATGTTACATAGGTGATTGGTAAGGTGACCTGCAGTGGGGGACCAGGCTCATGGTTGGAATTCAAGCACCATGAGAAATTGCATCAAGCAATGCTCCATGAAAACTGCTTCTGTTCTGTCAGTATGTGGAAAAATTGAAGGTATGAATAAAATCCCTTGGACTAGAACAGTGGCTTAATGACTGAATTATCACTTTGTAGGTCCCAGGATGCCAGCCGGTATGGACACCGGTTCATGTCCCAGCTGCTCCACTTCCCATTCAGCTTTCTGCTTATGGTCTGGGAGAGCAGTAGAAGATGGCCCAAAGCCTTGGGACCCTGTGTCTGCGTGGGAGATGTGGAAGAATCTCCTGGCTCTCGGCTTCAGATCAGCTGAGCTCCACCACTGTGGCAATTTGAGGAGTGAGACAGCAGATGGAGGATCTTTCTGTATCTCCTTCTCTTTATCTACCTTGCCGATAAAAATAAGTAAATCTTTAAAGAAGAAAGAGAGGAAGGAAGGAAGTCACATCAGCTTTGTAAGTCTACCCAGATAAACTGTCATACTATATATTTAACGGTTATAAATCAGCCGTATGAATCTCTTGATATCCTAAAACATCCCTTTGGGTACACAAATGAAGCCCACAAGACAAGTATGAAATTTCATGTTGGGTGATGTTAACTGTGCAGCAAAAGCGACCAGACCACCTCAGTGACGGAAGTACAGGAGCATCTTACTGGTTCTCAGTCGAATGAAATGCCTGTGAGGCGCCCCTGTCAGTGGAAACCCACTGACCCCTGAGCACAGCAAGTCTATGGAGGCCAGGCCTAAGCAGCTTTAAAATGAATCCTTCATTTAGTGTTCAGCTCTTCTTTTGGTCCTAACGTATTAATGGATATAGGAAAAGCAGCAGAAGAGTCTGAAGAAAAAATTGGGGCAGTTTTTCCTTCCACATCTCTCAGTGGTGGGAAGGTCTTGTGATGTGTTTGGACCTAAAGATAAGGAGGGAGGGACTTTCTGAGAGTCCTTCAAGTCAAAGTTGTCAGGAAACTGGTCTGCCTTAGAGTTTCACTGACGCAGAGGCATCAGTGACGTGACACACGCTTAGAGGTCTGGACACATGGCAGGACTAAAGTATCAGCACAGCGGTACAGCCTGTGGCTGTGGGAGACTGGGTGGCCTCGTCTGCAGGGACCTTTAAGAGAAATCAGGAAGCCTTGTCGGCCAGGCTGAGGCAGTTGGAGGGCATTGGTTCCTGAGGTTCTGTGACATCGCCCGTGTTCTGATTCCATTACCTGGCAGGGTACTCTCACTCTTTCAGAGGTTGGGCGACTGGCAGGAGCTTGTGCTCTTTGCTCTGACAACCGACTGATTTGAGATTTCACAGCTTTTAAGAGTTGTGGGCGGTTCCATAACCGTAAGTTGGGAACTACAGTTACTGTCACCTCTCAGTCTTAATGAAAGTGGTTTCACTTGATTTGACTAATTCTTGGCTTATATCTCTTCTTTCTAGTCCTTGGCTCTACCTATGTTGCCATTAACATCACTATGGCACTGAATCTGAATCCTCCATCCGATCAGGGAATAAAAAATAACATGGTAGAGACCAAGGAGGAATCGTGCTCCCAGTCGGCGGAATGCCAGCGGGAGCTAAAAGGCTTGAAGAAGCGACTTCTTCGGGCTGAGGCAAATGCCTATCTACTGGCCAAACACCTTCAAGAACATCGTAAGTTTTGTAGCTGTAACCCAAAAATGTGCAGAGTATTTGATTTCACTTGTCTCACACATGACCGGCCTGTCTTCCTTGGTTCCTTTATTCCCTCCATCCAGTGCATTACATGCTCTTATTTTCTGAGAAGAGGAGAAGTTAGTATTTCACATGAGAATGAAATATCAACTTCAGCAGATCTCCCATGTTTTCTTTGTGGTATAGGGTGGGGAGTGAGGTAGAATCCCACCAAGGGATTCCTGTTACCATCAGGGAAATAGCTGCTTGTGTTTGGAGGAAGCCAGGTAATTTTCCTTGGTCTCCTCAGTGTCCTGTAGCAGATGGTGCGGATGTGTCACATCAGTGGGCGTTCAAGTCTAGGGTGAATGAGCTCCACTCAGTCCAAGTTTCCGTTCAGTTTGAACGGTGACATCCTGGGATGTGGGGTCAGAGTGCACAGTGATGCCCTATGGCAGTAGAGGATTCTGCCCTGAAAGTTGGCATCTTTAAGTAATCCCATCAAGAACAGGTGAGAGAAAGTGTGTTCCTGGAGTACAGGTTCTTCCTGAAGAGGCAGAAAGCACTGGAGCCTGTGATGTGGCAGCTTAATGCAGAGGGCAGAGCAGGGCTTCGGGCACTTCTCTGGGCTCCACTGCAGCTGGCTCATTGTCTGTGTATCCTGGATGGCTCATCTGTTGCCGTCATGTTACTTAGTTCTACCTTTGTAAAGTTACAATGAACTATAAGGCATATTTCACATAAGCCTAGGATGATGCTTTGCATGGAACATATGTCATTTGCCACTTAGTAATTCTACTATTTGTTGTCAGCATATGGGTGTGCTTTGCTCAAGGCCTTTGGATCCTGTAAATTAATGATACACTTCTATCCAGATGTGACCTTTTACATCTTTCAAAACCCCACAAGCGTGAAAATTTCAAATCTCCAACACCAGAGAACTATCCCCAGTGCTGGGAGCTTGGCAATGACCTAGGGAATCACTCATTTATGCCCCTACTTAGTGGATTCAGAGTTCATGATTCAGAATGGGAGGTCAGAGGATAGCAGTCTGGTCCTGTCGTGTGCCAGCTCTGTCACCTGTTAAGTTGCTTTGTCCGCATTTGAACTGCTCTGTGTTCATTTTCTGGAAAGACAGTGTTTTGGCAAGCTTTCTTTCCAATCTTTGCCAAACTAGTTGATAAGAATAAACGCTACCATGATTTCCATGATTCATGACTAAAGCTGATGCAAGTGAAGTTGAACATCATGCCATCTGATTGTTGTTGATACTTGTTGCTGATTATCTGGCTGGACTTGTCTTTCTCCATTGTCTTTGATTTTTACATAAGTTTCTTTGTTCTACCATTTGTAAAGCTATTGAGTTTTTGACAAGAGTGTCAGTTGAAAGTAAACTATTTAGCATGCAATACCCAATATATTGAGTTGAAAGGAAAGATAATGAATTAGAGAATAATCCCTGAATAAAAATGAACAAAATGCAGATTATCCAATGCCATCTCTCAGGAGGAGGGTAGGGTAGAGAAATACACATAAGGCAATCAGTGCATTATCACTGACCCTGGTGGAGCTCCCCATCCTAAAAGACGATGACCTGGGCAGCTTGGCCAGCTGTCCACTGAGCAGGCATGTGTGTGTTTGTGTGTGTGTTTTCTCAGGATGTGAAGGGTATAAAGATCTGATTGAATCCCTGCTGAGGGAGAAGCCTCAGTTTCTGGCAGAAGATCTGATGTCTGCGGAGAACAGAAAGTAAGAGGGCTCCCTGACAGTAGGCAGGGGAGGGGGAGGGTGAAGGTGAGTGCACCCCTGATGTGGAGCAGGTCAACTGGGGAGCCAAGAGCTGGTGGGGCAAGGAGAAGGGCAGGGACCTATATGGTGGGCACATGCCTCATTCAGATTCATGGAGCATGCAGAAAAAAGACTAAATGATGGGCTGCAATGGTTATTTAGAACCTCTTTGCCGTTAGCAACAAAGAATTTCTTAACTGTAATGTAACATATACAGTTTAACAAACGAAGCTGATCAGCTTAGGAACATTTCGTTTGGACACAATGTTGCAGGATCACCACCTCAATCACTCCATCTCCCGCACATCCTGACTGCTGTGGACACTGCCTTAGGGTCACCCTGGCAGTGACCCTAAGTCATTCTTTCTGATGAACACAGTTGAACCTGGCATGTATCTTATGCCTTTTGTCTATTCACTGCACAGCACACTCATTGTATTTTACAAGGAAAAGTGTATGGTTCAAGTGTGGAAGTGAAGGCTCGTCTTGATGAAGGAGCTGGGGATGAGCCCTGTGAGCCCAGTGTCCGGGAGTCTCACAAGGTCTCCATCTAAGGAAGCTCCAGCTCTGTGCAGACACACAGAGAACATATTAAGGATCCCTTTCCACCTTTGCCTTGTCCCTGCTGTTTTCCTTAGCAAATGCTGTGTTCCAATTCAAGATCTGCCGCAGTCACAGGAGTGGAGAACTCTTTGTCTCCTTATCCATGAAAACCTCCAGGACATTGTCACCCAGCAGGACTTTTGTAACAATCACGGCCCAGACTTACTACTAAGACTCACTGAGCTGCTGCAACTGACAGATCTTGTTGGGAAGCTCAGCCCAGGTAAGATGACCAGGTTCTGGTGACAGAGAATAATAATCAGACCAGGTTCTGATGCCCCTGGAGCGGGGGCATCATCCTCTGGGTTGTAAAACTCGGGACAGATGCTGTGGCCAGAGGCAGTGTGTTAGCCGCACTAGAGTGATGGAAGGCCTCAGCTCTACCCACAGCCTATTTTCACACATAGGTGCTTTTCTGCTTTTCTGTCTCCTTCTCTATAGTGTAGCTAAAAATGTATTACATGGTTGATGTAACACTCAAATCTGAAATAGTCACTTGTGCCTTTTAAATAGGATGTGACCCTTGACCCACTGCATTGGATCAGGTACTGGAAGCGGCTAAGCTTGTCTTTTAAGGTTCTCTGTCTTCCCGACATCAGTGGCATCATCTCCCTCTCTGCCAAAGACAGTATAAATCTCACTGGCCCTGGTTCTTTACTTTGTGTCTTGTAAGTGGGCTTATAGCTAAGGAGCCATTTCTATCCAGACATAATGTATGCTGCCCATCTCATGCTGACAAGATTCCTGGAGGCAGCAGTGAACCCTGTAGGGCTTGGGTGCTGTGGTGCCTCTGTTTCTATATGCCAGCACAGGACTATCCTCAGAGGAATGTTTTTGCATTCCACCCAACAGACTCACCTCAGTGTCTGAATTCACTCAATTATCACAACCTGGGTGGCTGATGGGAGAAGTCTGGATAACACATCTGTTCCTTGGCAATGCATAGAGGCCTTATTCCCAAGACCAAAGGGTGGCAGGGGAAGTGATGGTAGTTGTTTCCCAGGACTTAGGATGTTGAGGCCGTGTTTTTCACATCAGGACATTTGACCCTTTGCCTAATTAAAAAAAATTAAGGGCCTGCCATGATAGTCCAGTGGCTAAGTCCTTTCCTTGAATGTGCTGGCATCACATGTGAGCATTGGTTCATGTCCTGGATGCTTCACTTCCCATACAGTTCCCTGCCTGTGGCATGGGGCAGCAGTTGAGGTTGGCCCAGAGCCTTAGTACCCTGCACCCATGTGGGAGACCCAGAAGAGGTTCCTGGCTCCTGGCTTCAGATTGGCTCAAGTCTGGTGATTGCAACCACTTGGGGAGTGAGCCATTAGTTTGAAGATCTTTCTCTCTGTATCTTCGATTCTCTGTCAATTTGATCTGCCTTTCCATTAAAAATAAATAAGTCTCTTTCTTTTTTTTTTAAAGAAGGAAAGAAAATTAGACATCCTGATAAGCTATGAATGGAATTTTTCTCTTCTGGGATCCAGTTCTGAAATGGAGGGTCCTAGTGCCCCTGTCAGGGCTGGTGTCTGGATTGCTCATGTACAAAGGAATTTCCCTAATTTGCCATGCCTGTCTGATTGTATCTATCCTCATTACAGTGGAGCAAATTCATGAAGATTTGACAGCTCACCAGGAATTCACCAACCCCAGGTAACACTGGGAAATTGTGGGTAGTTAATTGGAACTGAAATTGGAAGATTCCCGACTCAGGGGAAAGAGAATGTGCTGTCCTATAGGAGAGGATCATTGTACAGCTTTTAAGAAATGGCACGTTTAATTTGGTGACAGCTTTTTTTGTATGATGTGAAAGCCAGGTAAGACGCTCTGGGACATGAATTCCCGGCTGTTAACATTTCATCGCATCTTTACACAGGGTCGTTGAAAAGGAACAAAATGATCTGGGAGAGGCAAACATCCTACAAGGGCCTAGAGTTGATCCCTCTGTGTCACCCACAGCATGTGACACGAAAGGTACATGACAACTGCGTGGTATCAGGAAGGACGTAGTGCAGGAACAGCACTGCCACATGGCAGTGTGAGGACAATCAATGTGCCCCAGGGAAGAGGGCAAAAGCCCATTACATGTTTCATGGGTAAATTGGCATACCAGCCTCACTCATAAGTGTTTAAACTAAGACTTGGCACTGAAGCAGACTGAACCATTGTTAAAATATTCAACTTGAGAGATTTCAGAATGCTTTATGAAACACATGAGTACTTAGCATGGGTAAAGTCATAATCCAAGGTCTTGTCCAGGCGCACATGAGCCAAATGGTAGATCATTGCATGCAAAGCAGCTGAGAAACACGGAACATGGCAAGAGACTGCCAGAAAGTGCAGGTAGTGTGACAGGGACATGAAGAGCACACAATGCAGACCCTCTCAGGCTGTGTACTCCTTTGTTTCCTTAGATACCTTTTGCATGGAGTTGCTACCCAGAATTCTCTCAGCCCAGCTGATTACCCTCATCTATCCTGTAGCCCCTCCACCATTCCCCTAGTGTATTACTGAAAGGACTATGTGTAGGCTCGGTGTGGTGTGCCACATGAACTTGAACAATGCCTGGCACAAATTGGTCTTTGCCCTTGCAACAGTGAGATGGGGAATGGATAGGAGTGATACAGCAGAAGGCATGGTAGTTGTGCTGGTGTGTGCTCATGCTGTAGCTGTGGGAAGTGTGGGTGCCATCTGTACACAACAGTACAAGTGAAATGCCCTATCACCACTGCAAGCAGACATCTCAGCTGGTGGGCTGCAGACTAAAATAGTAGTCCTGGGGAATGACATGAAGCCACCACATGGCTCATCTAGAGGTCATGGATGGCCCTGAGTGGTCCCCATGTAGTTGGGAAACCATTTCAGGTGGCCTTCTCTGTCATATAAGTACCACTCGCTAACTGATTGCGGCACTGGAACCCCATGGCCTTCTCTGTCTAATGTGATTTGCAGAGCCCCAAACACCTTTGGATGTAGAAGACCCTTCCCTGGATCCTGACAAGTACAGGTAAGTCTCCAGACTATATGGCGGGAGAGCCCAGCCCGTTGTCCTGGGACTGCCCAGAAGAGTTCACTTTACCTGCTTCTTTGCCAGTGGGTTTGCTCAATTCCAGTGGCCTGTCCAAGGAAATTCTGTGACAAAGTTACGTCTGTCCTGGCTTCACAGGGGCAACTGATTGTTCTCTGCCCTGTTGTTTCCAATAGTTCAAGCACACAGTTTGCTCTGATGATTCTTACTCTCAGCATGAGAGGCATCATCTGGGGTGGTTACAATCCAGTGTTCCTGCAGCTGGTTCTTAAGGCGTTGGCAGCTACTCTGCCTCTGTGAGGGAAGGCAATCCCTATTTGTGTGGTGGTCATTTCCCATGCATAGAAGGGCACCACCAAGAATAGAGAGAGAGTACTGGAAGGGAGCTTTGATCCAGGAAGCAGAAGCTGAGGAAATGGCCTGGAGAGTAGTGGGGGATGGGTGGAGAGCCAGACCAGGGTGGTCCAATTATTCAGCAGGTACATTTAAAGTGGCCAGGCTTGCAGAATTTGGGTGACACTTGCTCTCAAGAGTGACCAACAGCTTGAGCAAGACTCCTGGAATATAGCCAGGAGGGGATTCCCATTGCTAAAGTGCCAGCCAGGCAGCATTTTCCTCCCCTCAGCAACTCTGCACTGGTCCCTGTGCCTCAATCTCTGGCTGCCACCTTCCACAAGCCTTAGGCAGTTGTGCTTTTGAGCCTGAGGGAAATGGCTGCTTGTGTCCTATTGCTGTGACCACAGTCTCTCTGCCAGCATCAGAAGACAGAGGGAATCAGTCACATTCCAGCTCATTTGTGACATCTCTTTACTTGCACCCCAACAGGCCCAGCCCCGAAACACCCTGGCTGGAACCACTTGAGGTGTTCCCTGGAACCACTGGTGAAACCTGGGGGTCTCAGACCATGAGCCCAGGGGCGACAGAGAAGCCCCAGGCATTGTTTGACACCAATGGTAACCTCGAGCAAGAAGAGCTACCTGCTGCCTTGGGTGAGTGCAGGATGTACACAGTGGTCAGTCCTGTGTGAACAGACTGTCGAGTCTGAAGGACAGCCCTTCTAAAAAGGATCTCCTGCTCAGTCTAGCCCCCCCTCGTGTTGGGTCATGCCTGGCTCCCTGCAACCAACACCCACCCCCCCAACCAGCACCACCGTGACACTGCTCTCTGCACTGTGGGCTCTGTGCTTACAGCCCCTAGGTGCTCTGGCTGGTACCCATCCAGATGAGAGTGGTGGGTTCACCGCAACCTCTTCCTGTCACTCATGGCCTGGTGACACACCCTGATGGCCAAGGCACCAGCGTTTGCTTCCATGTCCATCTAACAGATGTGGGGCTCATGTCCCTCTGCTGATCTCACTGACCTCTCCCTTGTGAGATGAGTTGACTAGATTCAACCAACCAGAAGGCTCTGCTTAGCTCCCCCTGTGTATTCATGCTCTGGCCAATGAAGCCGAGGCTCTGTCACACTGGAATCACTTAAATGCAAGCCCCATCCAGCCCAGGTGGACCTGGGTACCGAAGTAGCCCCTGGGTCTCTTCATATTGTGCCTCCATCCAGTGGCAGTGACCTGGCACAGTGCTTGGCCTGCCCCTGGAAAGGGACAGGACTGGATTTCAGAGCCTTGTCTCTCAGAGGCCAGTTGGGCTGTGGGCCAGAGGTGAAAATGGGTTGTGAAAATGGCCTAAGGGGGTTCCACCCCTTCAGGGTATAGGTGATGTGTGTGTCACCCTGACCCAGCAGTGACATGGTGTCCACCTGGCTCCCATTGAAATGGACAGTCTTGACCACTGGCTTAGATTCTCACCCTTCTGGCCCCAGGATGTCCCAGAACAAGAAGCTTGGTGCTCGCTCACCCAGAAGGGTAGACGTCCCTGAGGGTCATCGCCATGTGGTTGGCTACACTCACAATGCCCTTCCCTTTGTGATGTGATTTACAGCTTCACCGTCGGACTCCGTGGATGGTGACAATGCCCTAGATGCATCGAAGGACATGTAAGACTCCAGAATGTGTGGAACTCAGGTTTATGGATTCCACGTGAAGTGTCAGTCATAAGAGATGGAGGATGCACACCAGGAACC